AAGAATAACAGGTGTACCTGTTCTCTCTTACGTTTAAGAATAACAGGTGTACCTGTTCTCTCTTACCCAGCCATCCCACTCCTGGGCCTATACCGGTAGAACCGAGTTTCTCAAACATCATGCGTATGCATCTCCAGAGGAGGCATGTTAAAACCCAAATCCACGGATTTTTAAGGTTCAGGTTTCAAGGGCTAGGTTAGGGCCTGAGGACATGCATTTGCCATGATTGCCAGGTGATGCTGAAGCTGCTGAGTATGAAACAACTCTGACAAACACCACCCTAGAGACAGCCTCGCACACATCACACAGGATGCTCATCACAGTCCTGCAACGTGCAGTCCACTCTTGCACGTTAGCAAAAGTGGAAATGAACACATGAGGAATAGAAAAGTGTCCATCACTAAGAACACAGGGAAGTAAAGCTATGCGGGGGGGGTGAATGGGAGTGCAAGGTACGGACACATATGGCAGGTAATCTTACAAAGTTCACAGATAAGACTAGATAATACTACACTGAGATCTCTCAGACAAAATGCTGAATGTCATTCTTTCAAATCTTAAGTGTCTGAAAACTTCCACAAGTTTTAAATACTGAATGAGAAAGAAATCAAATGAAATAGCACAGTACCACATAAACTGAAAACGCAAACAAAATAACATGACATCTTTTATAAGTACAGAGACACACCCCAATACTTAAGACAATGGAAGAAAGGAGGCCTTCTTGGCAGACTGGGAATGAAGGAGGAAAAATGAAACAAAAAAATAGTTTTATCTTGTGCCAAAAACTAACAAATGTTATGACAATCCTTAGCACCAGAAATCTTAAAAAGTAAAAACCACAAAAGTTATCTCTAAATGTCCATTCACTGTATTTACATAAAATGTTTGCATCAATTAAAGCCCCCCACAGTTCTTCATGGTTAAGGGGCCAGATGACCTTGCCACCAAAAGATAGAGGGAGATCTTTCTGAAATACAAGTTTGGGGCCTTTAGATTCCAATCTTTGACATATTGGCACTGAAAAGAAGTTGAGATTCTTCTCTTTTGGCAAAGAATGTTCTTGCTGGGCATCTCCAGGATTTGTTTACATCTTTGGATGTAGGGTGGGGTGGGAGCCTTGGTTACTGATAGAGGGGAAATTACAGTGAGAGAACCTGAGAGGGGGACAGACTGAGCCAAACTAATTGATCAGTCAAAATTACAAGACCAAGCTATCTTCCTGACCCCACCCAACTCTCTCTCTTCCTCTATCTTCATTCTCCCCTTCTCTATCTCATTACAACTTCCCAATTCACAAGTTCAAATTGGTTGATTAGAAATATAGTCCGGCGCCCTTCCTGGTGGCACAGCAGGTTAAACCACTGCACTACAAAGCTAGGGCCACTTCCACATAAGTTCGATCCCCGCCTGCCCCGGAGGTGACCACATGGC